ATTTCAGATCATTTACATTTATATTATCTAAAATACAAATTCAGAAGCTACACAAAAAGCCAAAATAAACAATGTCGACCACTTCGTACACGAGAATATAACAGAATTGCACTTCGAAATTAAAAATTCCGACCTGAGTAATCATCTCCTTCAAAAGCTGCCAGTGAGGGCTTTTATCGAAGTCGGACGAAAACGTCAAGATAGGGCGCGAACCCTTCAAATGATTACCAGTAAGTTTCAGTTCTTCCATCGTGTGCACTTCAAACAAACACATAGAAAAACACAAACAAATTAGCAAAATCATTAATAACAAAAACAAAACCAAAAAATCGAGAAAAACGACTATTACCTGCATTGACCAAAAACTTGACAGACGGACCGTTCGGGCACTTCGACATCCACATGTAAAGGTCTTTGCCTTTCCTACACTGAAATAATACACACGTACAGTAGAACCTCGATAAATTAATACTTGATAAATTAATAAACTCGCTTAATTAATAACTTTTTCCGGTTCCGGTTCGGTAAAAATGTACTAAATTATCAGTTCGATAATTTAATATTTTGCTAAATTAATAGAATTTTGTTAGTCCCGACTTTATTAATTTATAGAGGTTTAACTGTATATATGTTCACAAACGGAAATCGTGGTAAATTATGTTTCGACAAACCCATTTCTCGGCGATTTTTAATTTAAATACCTCAAAAAACAAGCAAGAAGAGCAGCTCTTGAGCTCGACGAGCTCGTTCAAGGCGGCGCCTTTACTACCCTTAGCCTCGACTTTGTTATCTTTCTTACAGTGAGGTAAGAGGTCAACCAAGTTCAACATCAAATGCCGATACCTAAAGCATCCCCAAATTCAACAAATTAATTAATGAAATTAATTTCCCCAAACAAATTAAAAATTAACATCTAACGAATCAAACAAACAAAACCCTAGGCACCAAAATCGGATTTGGGGAAAAGATTATTAAACCTACCTGTAACTAATTCGGCGCGAACAAGTGACCAAGACTTTTTCTTTATTCCGAAAACCCACCGTTTGAGGATTTTCGTCGCCTTCCTTTTTCTCTTCGGGTTTGTCTTTGAAGCCAAAGAGAGTTCTTTTTGGCCTTTCTTCCACATTTTCTTCCTCCACCACAGCGGCGGGCGCCGCCCTTTCGGATTGTTTGCGCTTCTTTCCCATTCGTGAATTTGAATTCAGTAATCCGACGGACAGATTTAGGTATTGAGTTTTCCGATTGCCTGTTGGGGGTGAGAGGAAGGAAAGAGACGAATTGGGAGATTAAACCCTAAACCCTAAATCCAGATATGTATCATGGAATCGATTTTGATACAGATTCAGTAAATTGGGCTGAAATTAGTGTCGGGCCTGATTTTGGGCCCAATCTAATGGGTTTTTTCACAATTCGAAATTTCTGATTTTTGTGGGATTCTGAATAAATATTGTTTATTTTTTACTTGCAAAATTCATACTTTTGATTTTTTTTTTTTATTGAAATTGGAATATATATGAGATACATCGTACAAGTTTATATTATCTAATTTCAATTTCAAAAAATAATTCAAAACAATATGGGGTTTTTTCTTTCAAAAATTAAATTTTTAATATTTAATATTATTATGCATTTTATATTTAGGTGAATATAAAAGAAAGGGTAAAATGGCGCTTAACCCCCTTATGGTTTGAAAGTTGTGCAAATGACTCCTATCTTTTCTGTCTTTTCAAATGTAGACTAGGGGTGATAAAAAAAACCGAGAAACCGAAAAACTGAATCGAAAATCGAAAAAATCGAGCCGATATGTACCGTCCCGACTTAAAACCGCATATACGGTTATGTTTTTTTGAAAAACCGAAAATATCGATTTGTATATGGAGAATAAAAAAATTACCAAACCAATTTCCCGAACCGAACCGATTTATACAAAATGATGTCTTTTTATATATAGTATAAATACTTACCCTAGTGTGCATCTATCTTTCGAGCGCCTCCATGTGACATGTTTTTCTATTAATTAATTTTTGGTTGTGACTCGTTTTTTATTAGTTAATTTTCGGTTATTATTTGTTAATTTTCTCAAATAAATATAATGAAAGTTTAAATATATCGGTTTTATGGCGAACCGATTCGAACAAATAGACGAATTTGAAACCGAAAATAAACCGAATTGATACCGAAATCGTTAACCGAAAACCAAAAAACCGATTAACACCGAACCGAAAAAATCCAATATATTCGGTTTTTAAAATATGAAAAACCGATATTATCGGTACGTGTTTGGTTTATTGAAAAAATCGAGCCGTACCGACCCGTGCACAACCCTAATGTAGACAGTGGATAAATTGCAAACGAGTCGAGTGTGTTATTTTAAAAAGCTTATAGGGGTTTTTGAGTGTTATTTTATACCACAGGGACTTTTTCTGCAGTTAGATATTTCACAGGGATATTTTTTGAAAGAAAAAAAAACCCATAGTTTAAAATGGGGAAAATTATAGTTTTCACCCCTAAGTTTGCACTAATTTCATATTTGGTCCCCCATGTTCACGAAAAACACATTTGATCCCTCATATTTCAATAGCTTAACACTTTTGGTTATTTCCGTCAATTTACCGTTAGTTCGCCAGGTAGACAGTTTTGGGCAAGTGCTTGATTCCGTTATTACTAACGGAAACTTGACGAAAATGACTAAAATTGTTGATTTTTTTAAACATGAGGGACCAAATGTGTTTTCTTGTGAACATGAGGGACCAAATATGAAATTGGCACAAACTTGAGGGATAAAATTTGTATTTTCCCCGTTTAAAATGTAAGAGTAGGTTTTCCCTTTAATTAACAAAAATGGCTGATCGTTACTTCACCAACGAAATGCCTGATTACATACCGCCGGAAAATCCCCCCGCCGCCGCCGTTGAATCAGCCGCAGCTTCCGTCTCCGATTCGCTCACGAATCTTCTCCACCTCCCGTACAAAACCCTCTCCGAACGCCTGAAAAAATCAGCTCTGGATCTCAAAGACACAGTAACTCTCAATTCTCACTCCTTTTCCACTCATAACCGCTCAATTTGGGAAAAAAATTGAAAGAAATGAAGTAAATTTAATATTATTAATCGTCAGTGATCTTTTCTCTTTGAATTGGGGGTTTAGGGTTTGCTCTGGTTTTTAGGTGGTGAAGGAGACATGGGTTTGTAAAGGAAAACGTGTCGGTGGTGATTATAGTTTGTATACCGGAGCTTTGGGAACTGCTTTCTTGTTGTTTAAATCTTATCAAATTACAGGAGATAAGAACAATCTCTCTCTTTGCTCTGATATTATCAAAGCTTGTGATTCTGCATCTCAATCCTCTCAGTATGTTCATCTTTCTATGTAAATGCCATTTTTTTTAAATTTTTTTTTGATTTTTTGAGGTATACATTGTGTGATATTTGAATTTCGTCGATTAGCTGCTGATACGAGTTTTTATCCGTAATTGCTAATGTTCGAGGATCGGTTGGTTGGTATTTGATTATGTAATTGGATTGTTGTTTTGGATTTTAGGCGCGTGACTTTCGTATGCGGTCAAGGTGGTGTGTATGCTCTCGGTGCCGTAGCAGCACACCACAATGGCGATGAACAATTACGTAATCGATACATAACACGGTTCAAAGAGGTACTAATTTTCGTTTCTTTTTTTTTTCAATAAAAGACCTTTTTCGTAAAAATATTCAAAGAGGTACTTATTTCAGATTAAGCTTTCGAAGGATCTTCCAGACGAACTACTATACGGTAGAGCCGGGTTCTTGTGGGCATCTTCGTTCATGAACAAAAACATCGGTGCAAACACAATATCTTCAATTAGAATGGTACTTCTTCTTTAACAATGTCGCATCGAATTTCTTGTCTCGGCGTATTATATAGCCCCTTATAAAATTAATCAAGAATTTCTGGCAGAGGGCTGTTGTTGACGAGATTATAAAGTCCGGTAGAAATTTGGCAAAAGGAAACTGCCCTTTGATGTTTGAATGGCACGGGAAAAAATACTGGGGTGGGGCCCACGGGCTTGCCGGGATTATGAACGTGTTAATGGATATGGAACTTAATCGAGATGAGGTGGATTATGTAAAGGGAACACTTCATTACATGATCAAGAATCGTTTCGAAAGTGGAAACTATCCCTCGAGTGAAGGAAGTGAAAACGATAGGCTTGTGCATTGGTGCCATGGTGCTCCCGGTGTTGCTCTTACTCTAGCAAAAGCAGCCAAGGTAGAGAGATTTATATAAAAAAAATTACATCGTGACTTATAAATACCATTTCCGTTATTTCGTTTTAGTTATAGTTCGGTTGGGTTCTTTTTATCAAGGTTTTTGGGAGCGAAGAGTTTATGCAAGCGGCGATTGAAGCAGGGGAGGTGGTTTGGAAACGAGGACTGCTTAAACGAGTCGGAATTTGTCATGGCATAAGTGGCAATGCGTATGTATTTCTTTCTCTCTACCAATTGACCGGTAAGTCGGAGTTTCTATACAAGGCGAAAGCATTTGCGTGCTTTCTTTACGATCGTGCTCAAAAACTCGTATCGGAGGGTGTTATGCATGGGGGCGATCGTCCGTATTCACTGTTTGAAGGTATTGGCGGAATGGCTTATCTGTTTCTTGACATAATCGAACCATCTCAGGCTAGATTTCCAGTTTTCGAACTTTAGTTTTTAAATTTTGTTACACGAATGAATTTGTGTAAATATGTTTAGTGCATGCACTTTTTCTCTCCGAACGAACAAGTTTGTATTAAATGAGTTTCAAGTTTACTCGTACCGTTTCAATTTCAAATGTGACTTTGACCTTTTTTATAGTCAGAAATTGGCGAAACTCAATGCACCGAATGTGTAGTCTTTTAAGTTGGCTTTCTAATCCAATTTGGATCAGTTAGATTATATGTCGGGTGAGAAGTTATGCATGAAATGTACGAACATTGCCCTACGACCCACAATATGTCTACATCAAACTTAATTTTAACCATCTTAGCTGTCCGAATATGGGAAAACTCGGAAAATCAAAGTTGTAGCCCTTTGAATTAGCTTTCTAACCCAACTAGAATCGGGTAAATCGGTGATTGGATAAGAAAGTTACGAAGAATCTTGAATTACGATACCAATGTAAAATCGAAACGAAATTGTGTTTGTCAACTCAACAACTAAAAAACGAAGGATCGAGTTGTTTTATTACAATCTAACAAGAATCTTACAACAAACGTTATCGTCTACAAAAGTTTCTCAATCCGAAATCCTTCCTCTAGTGGCAAAAAAATCCGTAAATCACTCACTCAAACCAACAAGTTTCTCACTAACTTCCCACACTTTACGCGCCTTTGCAGCATCGCTCGCTTCTTCCGACAGCTGGTTCACAAACGAAGCCGAGTCCTTATTCCAGCTCCAGTAAACCCCCGACTTCGTCAAGCTCGGATCACTCACAACCTGTAATACTTACACACACACATTATACATCTATACATAAATATATAAATCATTTTCATCGAAATTATGTAATTTTTTTTTAAATTTACCTGTGCGAGTCTTTTACCAGATTCTTCCTCGGAAACGAACCCCTTTGTGATGAACTTCTGGAAGGGAGGGAAAAGTAGCCTGAACAAAGGAATATGCTCTCTGAAAAGCCCGGTTGTGGCGATGCAGCCAGGGTACAGGGAGGCGAATGTGATGCCCGTGTCCTCATGGTATCTACGGTGGAATTCTTGCATCGTCAGCATGTTGCAGACTTTGCTGTCCTTGTAGGCTTTTGCCCCGTCGAAATCTCCACCGTCGATCATGGATGAGGTGTTGAGGCCCGTTAGACCGCCTTGTAGGCCCCGCAAGTCGCCGAGGTTCGCCTTTGGTGGTACGTTTCCGGCCAATGTGTTTGTGTTCCCTGAAAATTTGTTATAACCCAAAGGAGAAGCGTTAATTGGAACGAAAATTCCGAGTTCTGATGATTCCAATCCGAAAATTTCCAATTTAAATTCTGGTTTCTGATCCGATATAATTTTCGTAAATATTTCAAAAAAAAATCGAAATTACACTTGTAACAAATGGAATTTTCAATTCTATCGAATTCAGTTAAAAAGAATCGATTTTGGAACAAATTTTTTCGTTCCAATTTATCCGAATTCCTATTTTTTTCAACATAGCTGGAATACATACAAGATTCCGATTTCGAATCTTATACTAATTTCGGAATATAATTTCAAAAATTTCGATTTTTCCTCCTTTTTTAAAAATAGATTGGGATACATATGGAATTCGAGTTCCGATTTTAATTTCAGAAAATAATTCCAAAATTTCCGGGGTTCTTTTTTTCCAAAAATTAGACTTATAGTATCAAATATCAATATTGTATCTCGCATTTTAGGTGACTAAAAATTGAAAATTTTCAAATTCCACCAATTCAGATGCAAAAATTCCCGATTTTGAATTTCGATTTTATTCCGAACATTCTTACCGGTGATTGAGCCAACGATAATGAGCCTCTTCGAGGGGTAATCGGACTCCTTCATGTCATCAGGGAGCAATCTCGAGAGTAGAAAATGGCGGGAGATGGTTAGTCCCGACACTAAGCTCGAACCCGTCGGCGGTGAACGAGGGCTCCTTAGCGGTGGGTTGATAGATGGCGGCATTGCACACCAACACGTCGAGCGGCCGTCCCGACCGCTTGAAGTTGTCGACAAATTGCCTCACGCTATCGAGCGAGGACAAGTCCAAGTGCATGATGGTGTAGCTCTCTTTGGCCATTCCGGCGGATTTTGCCGCCTTCTCCGCCTTGAGGAAGTCCCTGCAGGCCATGACCACGTGCCACTTGCCGCTCTCCGATAGGGCCTTGGCGGTGGCTAGGCCTAACCCGGACGAAGCTCCGGTGATGATCACCGTGCCTTTTCTTATTGTTTTCTTGCCTTGGGAAGCCGCCGGAGTCGCCGTCGGAGCGGTGGCCACCGCCTGCACTCGGAGGACCGGTGACTTTCTCGAGCTGAATTCTCTCTACAAAAAAAAAAAAATCAATTCTTCATGAGTTCTTCTCAATTCTTGATTCATGAAATTCATATATAATAACTACGTCTGTGTTATATCGAATTGCTAAAAAACTACTCGTGTTACTAATATTACCAAAAGAACCCTTATAATATTTTTTTAGCACGTTACCCCCTAAACAGTGATTTATTTTAGCAACGTTATCGAATCGCTAAAAAGATACAAGAGTGTCGAATGCAATAAACTCAAAAGTAATACCTTATCAGCTTTGACATGGTCTGAGATCAGTGAAACTCCAAAAAAGCAAGAATCCTTCAAAGATGCACTGGATTTTCCCTGCAGAAAAAAAAAATTGAAAAAAAATATAATTTTGAAAAACACAATTAAATATTAGGGTAAAATTACGACCACCCCGATGTAAGGTCAAATTACGGAAAAAAACCCTCATGTTTGGATAATTACAACTACTCTCTTCAACTATAAATTTCTAACACATCCATCCTTATGGTGTCAAATTCAACAGAATCTTTTAAATTACGTGGAATGTATTCGTTTTGTGCAAAAAGAAAAAATAGTTTATAATGTACCGCAATCTGATATTCACAAGTCAAAAGACACATTTTATGATCAACTTGTTTCAAAATATGGATCTCGAATGGAGTAAAATAGGTATACAAACTGAAGAATATTCCACTAAATTTGACAACGTAAAAGTGGACGTATAAGACCAAAAACATGATGGGGTCTTTTTCGTAATTTAACATTACCTCAGGGGTGGCTGTAATTTACTCTAAACATTATTAATTAATTAGGGGATTAAAGGGATTTGATAAAATTACCTCTTTGTGAGTAGAAAATGCAGAAGGGAGCAAAGCAGCAGCATGTAAAGCCATTTTCTTGAAATATCAAGAAGAAAGAGACTTTAGTTTGGTGAGATATTTATCTAAGTAGCAAATAAATAGATATTTATTGAATTTGATGTAATGTTTGTGCAAATATATATACAAAGGAAAAAGAAGATATTTCATATTTTGACAAAAGTTGGGCTGTATTTTTCGGATATGAAAAATCCAGCATGGATAAGATTATGTTGTGGAATTATATGCCACGTGGAGTTGGTCAACCAATCAGAAATTGTGGTTGGGATTTCTTCTTAGATATATATATTTTTTTTTTAATTATTTAGTATTTAGTATTTACCTCTGTTTCCTGATTATGGGTCTGGGCATGGGACAATTTATCAGAAAGATAATGTTGGCACTGACTGTGACATTTATATATCAGCATTAATAAATATATGCGTGACAAATTTTTTTAATTGTATTGATAGAATAAAATAATTTCTATCAATTTGTATTTCTGCATTTTTATTTGAGCAATATTCAAATCATGTTACATATCGTACCTGATTTTAATTATTAAATTCAGGTTTGAATTTGAATCCTGAAATTGTTTGATTTTTTTTTTTTATATAAATTCATTTGTTACAAGCTATGTAGTACGGACACAAAAATGGTGAAACGGGAAAACGGCATATCCCAAAAATCGAGATACAGGAGCTTAGGGGAAACGTGTAAATATTAAAAGTATGAGGGTATATTCATAAATATGTTGTATAAACATATATGAGTTTTTATTTATATATAAATTATCTTTATATATTTTCATTCAAACATATTCAAAATAAATTTTAAAATATTTGCAACTGATCATTAAAATCATGTAAGTGTAAATAATTATTAGAGAATCAACAAAAATATTTGAAAAATTGCTATTCAAACATGTTTTTAACTTTTTAGAAATTGCAAAATGTTCCATAAGGTGTCCGACACAAAACGTGCCCGCAACGAAAAAACGTTAAGAAGTTGAAGTTTTCGTTCTGCATAAGTAACAAGATTCAAAATTTTGTATCGAAGAAAAAAAAAACAAGATTTAGAACCCTGAAAACAGGCAAAAAGAAGAAGGAAAAGAGGAAATAAAAACAAATAAAAACATGAATAATACTTATATTAATTACAAATAATGTATGTATAGAGAGAGAGAGTACATAACTTTTGTGTACTCTGTGCTATGAAATGGAAATGTTTTTTTCTATCATAATTGATAAAATAAAACCCAATCCAGCTTCACTCCAAACTTTTATGTATACAACACCACCTAAATAAATTATTTGAATCAATTCATTAAAAAAAAAAAAAAAAAAAACAATTTTTGCTTCTAAATTACAAATATGCCCCCATCTCTACACTTCCCCGATTATATATAAAATAAATAAATCGGTTTCTAAACTCCACTGTGTAACATCTTAAATCCTTTTTACTATAAGAACTCTACATTTTTTTACCAATAAATAAATTTAAAAAAAAAAAAAATTATTGCAACCGAAGTATCTGTACAACTTCTTGCAAACTCGCGTTCGTCACTTAAACCACGATTAGTGGTTCAAATACGAAACGGCAATCCGAAATTCTGGAAAGTTCTGATTTCACCTCTGAGTCCCGCAGTTACAATAGCCATACCCCAAGCCGACCCGTTCGACAAGTCAACACTCACACGAGGGCTGTGCTTACTATTATTCTTACCGATCGACACGAGTTTCTCTTCCGGCCACGTCAGCGAGATTCTATCGAAGAGGTAGTTATTCGCTGCATTGGCCGTACGGTACTCGGATAGGCCCTCGACATCCTCCGGAGGGTTGAAATTGAAATGACCGTTTTGCCCTCCGCTGCGAGACGAGATGCCAGGCCAAGGGATTGCCATCGAAACGTCTTGACAGTGAAAGACCTCGTACGAGTTGGTTACTGCGACACTTTTGCTTCTGTTGGGTCGGGATTCGCATTTGTGCCTCCAAACGTAAACGTGCGAGTCTTCACTTGCGGAGATTAGGTATTTTCCGTTGGAAGTGAGTGAGGATGAAATTTGGCTCTTCGTGTTACGAAACCCTGTCAAAAGGAGAAAGGGGACCCACCATAAAACTAAGGATGGAAATTGGAATAGAAATTCGGAATTCCGCGGTTTCCAATCCAAAAATCATTCCGGAAAGTTCCAATTTTTCCAATTAGTTTTTGAACGGAATTGGGACAGATATTGGATTACGATTCCTGATCCAATCAAAAAATGTTTCCGAAAATTGCAATTATAATATAATAATCAATATTATTTTGCATTATAGGTGACTAAAAAAATGGAATTTTCGAATTCCAGGCGATTTTGATTCGGAAATCTTCGATTTTCGAACAATTTTTTTCATTTCGATTTCCTATTTTTCCAATTTTTGTGGGAACAAAATTGGAATTAGTTTTCAATGTCCGAAAAGAATTTGGAATTTTTCCAAAAGTGCTAATTCAAATCCGATCCGTTCGACAATGAAATCCAAAAGTTAAAACATTGAAAGGAAACTATATTTGCTCAAACTCTATGACCTAATCAAGAAATGCAATCTCAGACCTCAATCGGGCAGTTCAAAATATATACCTTAATCCCGAACAGGTGAACGAAAAAGTAAACTCTATAGCCTCGTTTGGGAATGTTGATAGGCTTGATAAGATAGATTGAATTGGTTAGGAATTAGGATTCTATCGTTCTTACCTAATTCATAAACGAGGCCTATAAAGTTTAAAGGTGACACATTGACGAACACCGTTAACAAACTTAAACAGAAACCCAATCACCAAATTTAGAAAAAAAAAAAAAAAAATTGCTGTCGAGAAAATTTCATACCTTTGAACTTGTGAACAAGATCAACACCATCTACAACTCGAATTCGGGAATCTGCAGACGTGATTAGCACCTCTGATGTACTCCCCGGAGCAAACTAGTGATATAAATAAATAAATAATAAATAAATAAACTAATAATTGGACGAATATATTAAAATCGGATATTAATCCGGGCTTACCTGAAAACCGGTTATTTTCTTCTGATGGGGTTTCTTCTTCTTGTTCTGCAAATTGATATAGCTCTTTTGCAGCAATTTATTTTCTGTACAAAATCGTACATACGTAAATATTTTACGTACAACAGAAGCTTATCATTTTTTTTTCTCGACAAAGCCAACGATTTCGTATTCGTACCTGACGTGTTATACAAACAGCAGCTACCCTTGTACGAACCAACTAATGCCCCCTACGAATAAGTTTACAAATACAAATCTTTGACGATAATCTTGGAAAAGGCATGCGAAGTTTAACGAATATTTTAGTAATATTATATTAATATATAATTTCCGTGTCTGACCTGTCCATCTGGCGTGTAACAAGCTGCAGTGACCATTTCGTGCAAATCATTCCAATCGATAACTTGGTGATCCGGGATGCTCCATATTCGAACCTTGGCATCAAGCGATCCACTAATGAAGTATCTATCATCAACTGGATTGAACTGTATACACGTTACTGTATCGTGGGAAAAAAACCGGAAAACATATTATAATTTTCTTTTTTAATCTTCAAGAAACATGTAAAATGCACTACAATTGCGGTTCGATTGATACATCGAACACATAAAATTGCAAGAACATTGAAATGAAAAGTAACCGATTTTACCCGTATTAAGATTCAATTGTAATCCTCGTTATCAAGCTATTGAATTACCTAATTTATAACCTCCCCCACCTTCCTCGTTTCCGACCAGAAATATAGTCTCAAATACCATTTCTACCCTCGACGGAATATTGTTTTAGTGGTTTACAGTCCAAATAGCATATCCGATTATCAGTTCACTAGAAAATCATCGATAAGTATGCGAATAGCGAATTATTGATGAATTTGGAATATAACCTAGTGCTCGATTCACATCGTTCGTATTATTAATTCAAGCTTATTAAAAGAACTACAAATGGTACTCCATTAACGGAGTAAGAGAAGAATAATAGGCAATTACCATAGTCACTGTGTGAAAAGATCTTCACACAAGCCTTAGTAGACAAATCCCACAAACGCACCGTCTTATCCATCGAAGATGATAACAGTTTCTGGATATAACGACAGAGAAGTGTGAGAAACTCACCCCAAGTGCTCGACTAAATTAAAACCCAAATTGCAAAATTGGAAAAACAAAACGTACGAAAATAAACACTAATTGGAAAATCAAGAAAGAGTTTGACTTATTTCTCCACAATGCGATCCCGAGTAAAAAAAACACTGACCTGAGATTTTGACCAAGAGAGATCCAACACATCGTCTAAATGCCCATGAAACGAACAAAAGGGTTTCTCCGAAAGCGCAAACACCGAATCGGGCGCCAAAATCTGTTCAAGACTGATCGATTTTCTACTCACGGACGACCTCCCTCCTCTTCTCTTCTTCTCCAAACCACCGTCTAACTTCGGCGACAACAACAAAGGCTCCGGAAATAAAAGATTGAAATTCCCATCTTCCAATTTATCCCAAAAGAAATCTCCCTTCCTCTCGTTTTCCACAACCTCCCAAACGTGAATCACGCAATCCTCTCCCGCACTAGCCAGATATTTCCCATCCAAACTGAACTTAATCGCCCAAATCGACCCGTTGTGAGCTTTTATCTCCTGGCTTTTGTACAATGCCGTTAGCTCTTTTACGGATTTACCGTATTGCCTCACCCGAACTTTCTCGGGCCCCGCTTTGAAGGAAACTTCTTGGCTACTATCGTCTGTGGCAGAACTCGATCTCCTCCCACTCGATGTATCCCTTTCATCACTACTCCTTCTCTCCCTATTATGCCCTTTAACAGAATTCGCCACATTTTTTATACTACTCAGCCAATTCCTCCTTTTTTTCGACTTCGATGCACTATCGAAACTTCCGTTGTCGTGGTTTGATTCCAAACCTTCGTTCGTCCTATCTTCGAAATTCTGTCTCCTCATCAGCTCCTGTACGATTGGAGAAGTGCCGACGCACATTTCGGATGTAAACTCCTCCATCGTAAACTGGCGCCCGGTTTCTAATTCTTGAATCTTTTCCCAAGTCCCGTCTTCCTTCATCTCGTTTACCACAAACTCCTTCCCGTTATCGAGATTCTTTATCAAACACAACTCGTCATCGTTACTAAAGCTCCCGTTACGCTTACAATCGGTTCTAATTTTCACTTTCGGGGGTTTATTAGGAGAAACTGCACTGCACATTGGAGATTGATTGCTCCTATTACTATTATTACTATCACCATCATCATCATTATTATTATTATTATTATTAATATTATTTACATCTATACGAATTTCATCGGTTACCGAATTGTCAATGCGAACTTCCGAATTCTTGCACGAATTGCATTCTCCATCCGACTTCGATCGGAGAATCCCATATGGTCTAACATTACGATTACTACTGCCATTAACGCAATCGCTACTATTATCAAGTAATTTCGAAGAATTATTACCGAATGGGTCGGAGTGATGGGATGCGAGGGAGAGGGAGAGGGAGGGGCGGTGGCGGTGGCGGAGGAGGGAGGGGTCCCGGGCGAGGCCCATCTGGCGGAGGAGGCGGAGGCGCCGCTCCTCCACCGACGACGGCTGAGATGTCCAGACGTCGTAGTTTCCGGCGACCGATTTAGGGAATTTCGGCACCGGCTCGTTGTGGTCGGGGCTGAAATTGGAGTCGGCTTCCGGTTCGGAGGTGGAAGGAGAGCACGAGCATGAAGTGTTGGTTGAAGAGAGAAGCCGGTCGAGCGAATCGTGAAAGCTGACGTCAGCTTCTCCGTCGTCTTCTTCTTCTTCTTCTTCTTCTTCACCGGCTTTGCTCATCTTTTATCATCCGGCCAGTGTTCCACAGTCTCTCTCTTTCTCTCTCTACTAGCACTGAAGTTAACGGGAAGAGAGAGAAAGTGGGTGGGGCTAGTGAGAAATGAGAGATCAGACAATGGTGGAAGACGGTGGTTATAACTTTGGGGAACTCAGATCCGATGATGATGAACTGTAGAGAGAGAGAGAGAGAGAGAGAGAGGAGTTACGACGTCGTGCGGCGGTGTGTGGGGACCGGGGAGGGACCTTTTTTGTTTGGTTGTATTTTATGTGGGGTGAAAAGAGAAATATATAATAAATTTGGGGTCGGATGTTGATATAATTCGGAATAATTAATGATTTTGGTTTTCTATGAGCTTAGCGATGATGTTTTTTTTTTCTTTTTCGTAAATACTATGTTTTATTTCATCATATATATATATATATATATATGTTGTATCTATAAAATATTATTTACAGAAAAAAATGAAAAAATATTGTCGATTATATCCTATTAGATTTTAAAAGTGTAAAAAGTAATTTATCTAAATATATGACAATAACAATTATAATAAGATAATATATTACGCTTTTATAATAAAATTTAATAATGACATTTAAGTAACGGTATCAATAGTCATACAAATCTGATTTAATACAAACACTCTCTGCAAAAAAAAAAAAAAAAAAAAAACCTTAATTGTTATAAAACGGAATTGATAGTTAAAAATTAAACCACATAGTATTATTATGACTTTGGATATTATTTATTTTTTGTTAACCAAGTGTGACAAACTCGATATATCGATCGCAGATTATTCTGATTTTTGAATACTTTATTTATTTATTTATTATTATGATTTTATTTAAAAAAAAATTGTTTTGCAAATTATTGATTATGTAGGAAAAGTGCACACGTGCTTTTCTTTACTTCTAACCTCAAACAATTGAGGGAAATTAAGAATAGAATCATAATAATGTGGGATTAATAATGATGAAAGAACGTGTTTAATGATTAATTAAGTTCCAGACATACCACGTGGCGTGATTCCTAATACCAGCCTGTTTGCTGTCAAATTAGATACCTTTTATTATTTATTTATTTTTTTGAGACACTTTTATAAGTTAAACACAAATTTGCACCCCTTTACTATCATCAATATCGCATATATCCCTTATATTACAATATACGACAAAGTGGCCCATCAATTTAACGGTTAACCCTCAAATTTCTAACACCGTTAGATTATGTAACGTACTTACCTTTTTACCCTTACATTTATATGATACAAATAGGCATTTATTGACTTTATTGCTTTGCGATTTTTTTTCTTTTTACTTTATTACGTAGCACTCTGGTTGCATCGACAAGTGGTTCTAGGGCATAACGTAACAAATGAAATGCATGAATTCTGAGAATTAAAACTACGTGAAGCATTTTAAATCGAGATATTTTGGGATGAATAAATAATAAAATTTCAAAAAAATTAAAAAGAATTTAAAAATATTATTCATAATAAGAAAAATCATAAATTTTGGGTGAAATTTTTAAGCTGGGAACAAAATTGCGAAATTTTATAAATTTAAAAGAAATCATAAATAATTTTCAGAGTATAATTGCTTTTCAGAAAATTTTGGTGAAATTTTTAGGTCGCGGAAAATAAAATTAGGAAAGAAACATGAAAAAAAGATGGGAGTAAATTACGTACATGAGAGAAAGAAAGATGAACACTTTTTTATACACAACTAGAGGCGTATTTTCGTCTGAAATTGTCCAACGTCTGGTGTAATGGTCGGTCAACTTTGAAAATTGACGGATTCTCTAACATGGCTTAAAGATATGGGCCATATTATCGCATCTTATTGTACATAGAGTTTATGCGACAGTGGTGATATTACAGAGGTGCAATTTGTATTTACTCATATTATCTAATTAAACACACACAACAATAATAAAAACTCAACTTGTGATTTTAATACTATGTGCTTTCACAAAAATCCCGTATTTATACTTTGATTTTCTTTTAAATAAAATAAAACTATCTAATATTAATGAATTAAATGTTAATAACAATGGAAGATAGGAAAAAAAAATCAGATTGAGGGAGGACATTGATTTCTTTTCCACTCTAAAAAAGAGTAGAAAGAAAAAAAATCAATTCATTTAGGGGCTGAAATCACCCCTCAAGTTTTCACCAATTTCACATTTGGTGTCTATATTCACAAAAAATACATTTAGTCCCCTATGTTTTAATAATTAAACACTTTTAGTCATTTCCGTCAATTTTTTCATTAGTAATAACAAAATCAAGCATGTGTCCAACACTGGCTTAACTGATAGACTACAGGAAAAAATTAACGAAAATGACCAAAAGTATTAAATTATTGAAATATGAGGGACCGAATGAGTTTTTTTTTAACATAGGGACCATGTGAAATATGTGCAAACTTGAGGGGTGAAACTGCAATTTTCCCCCTTTTTTTTAGTGATGATGAACTTTTGAGAAAAATGTCTGTGAATATAAAAAAGATAAAACGTTAGTCACTTTGACATGAGGTTCGACCCCAGATATTGAGATCGATGGGCTCTATTTCGTAGTTGGATAACGTTGGGTGAATTGCAACCACATCCCTGAGTGGAAAAAAAAACCGTTATTTTTGAGAAATTACATCCAACGCTTGCAGTTTGTAAATTTCTTACATCCTCTCTTTACAAATGGGTGTTAATGTAAGAAATTTATAAATTACAAGGGGTTGATGCAATTATGAAAAAATGAGGGGTTTTTCATAAATAGACCTTACCTCTGGAAGGTAATTGTAATTTACCCTATAACGTTTGTAGGTGAGGTTTCTAATTTGTAGGTTTAATTAATTGGGCTAAATACAGTTTGCACCCTTAAAGTATAGGGCTGGTAACACTTACCCCCTTAAAGTTACAAATGTAACACTTGCCCCCCTCATTAATGAATTTAATGATAAAACTTTGACTTTGAATGATGTGGCATTTTTTCTCCCCAAATTGTCCTTCTAGCTATTATATTAATTCATATATAATAATATATTTTCAATAATATTTCAAAAACTAAATTTTATAAAATGTAATAATTATTAAAAAAATATTTTGATTTATGTTTAACCCCACATTTTAATTACTATAGACCCTAATATAAATAAAAATCTCAATATTAAAAAAAAAATTTAAAATACGTTAAACATTTGCAAGAAAAAAATAATTTCAAGACTTAAACGTCCAATTTGTTTTATAATAATTATTGATTTGAAAATTTATTTCAGTTACTTAAATACAAATTTCAATAAAAAAAATATTTAAATATTTAGACGTTTAAATTATAATTTCTTATTAACTTTTGAATACATTTTGTGATTCTCAAAGTAAAAAGTCGGATGATTATATTAGAGTCATATACGCATTAATATAACTATATAAACTATAAAATTATTATTAAAATTCGAATAATTGTTAACTTTTTATTAGCTACAAATGAACACAAGATAAAACAAATATGAAACTAAAATTCAATTTTTTTCATTCGTAAATTTTCAATATTGAAATAATAAAATTAAGTTTTTGCAAAGTTGCCGAATTTTTTATTATTACATATTCATTATTTATATAATGGCTAGAAGGATAATTTGGGAAGAAAAAATGCCACATCATTCAAAGTCAAAGTTTTACCTTTAAATTCATTAATGAGGGGGGTAAGTGTTACATTTGTAACTTTAAGGGGTAAGTGTTACCACCCCTATACTTTAAGGGTGCAAACTGTATTTAGCCCTAATTAATTAAAGGGGGCGACTAAAACAAATCCCATTTTTTTCTCACTTCATTAACTCCACGTTTAAAACCATTTTTTATAGAAGTTTTTACAACTTTTCCTTAGTTTAAAACCATAAATAAAAAAAAATTATTAGCAAAGTACAAAAACGCCATTTATCAAACAAAATACAATTTATACAAACACAATTGTTTATTCCTCATTTCAATACCAAGGAAAGAAAGAAAAACGTAACAAATCCTCTCTTTTCTCCCCAAACTCAAATCCCTTAAAAACCCTATCTTCTTCGTCTTCTTAAATCCTCCAAAACATCTCCAAATTCAAAAAAATCAAAACATCACAAAACTTATAAAATGGAGTTATAAGACAATAATATGATAGTATATATGGAAAGAAAACCCATTAAGGTATGTATCCATGTTTTTTTTGAGCTTCGAAGTCGATTTTGAAGTTTTTTTTTTGAAACCTGCCGGCAATTTTCGACACTTACATGTCGATTTTTTGGTCAATTTTCGACACCAATGTGTCGAAAAATATATTTAGAAAAAAAAAAATTTCGACACATACCCGTCAAAATTTCTCCCAATTTCAAAAAACACTGTTGGTCTAAAAAAATATTATTTTTACCAATAGTGTTTTTCGACACATACCTGTCGAAAATTCTCCAAATTTCGACAGGTATGTGTCGAAATTTGTTTTTTTTTTTTTTTTTCTAAATATATTTTTCGACACATTGGTGTCGAAAATTGACCAAAAAATCGACATGTATGTGTCGAAAATTGCCGGCGGGTTTCAAAAAAAAAAAAACTTCAAAATCGACTTCGAAGCTCAAAAAAGACATCGATACTTACCTTAATGTGTTCTCCTTCCATATATACTACCATATTATTGTCTTATAACTCCATTTTTTAAGTTTTGTGAGGTTGTAATTTCTTTAGTTTTGAGATTTTTTAGAAGGGTTTGTTGTGAGGAAGAAGAAGGAAGAGGTTGAGGGATTTGTGAAGAAGAAGAAGGGTTTGAGGGATTTTGTATGTTTGTATTGAAGAAAGAAAAATACTTTTTTTAATATTTGTATGATATTTATTTTCATTAAGGGTATTTATATCATTACTTATTTATTATTCAATTTTTATTTTTTTGGTATTGAAGTGAGAAAAATTTGGGATTTGTTATATAGTCCCTTAATTAAACTTGTTGGGAAGTCCACTTTGACTTGCCATAGAGTACAACATAGTGTTCTTGAAGTCATAACATTGTGATTGTCTACAAAAAATAAAAAATAAAATAAAAAAGTAAATAATAGGATTTAGTGAACATATTTTAATTTTCTTCCAATTTTTTTTAGGAGTTTGGGATCTTGGTTCTAGGGTTGTAAATAAGTTGTGCCAAGTGAAGGCCTTATTATTCAAATTTGTTTATATATATCGATCATCGAACATTAAAAATTGTATACGAGATTGGTTTGATTAGCAATCGAGCCAAGTTCGACAAAGTTTTAATCGAGTTCGACAAAATCATATGATCATTTTCTTCTATACAAGAAAGTTTACATACCATATCACATAAAACAAGTGTTCTGCAATAAAACAGAGAAGTAAAACAAACAAAATCAAACTAAGTTAAATTGTGAGAAATTACATAACCACTGCTCATATAGCTAAAAACCAGAATCCTACAGCAAGATTAAGTAAAAGAAAGAAGCAATAAAATCCATATTTTTTTTTATCGAACGAGACTCACTTATAAGCCGCCATTCCAACTCCCGTTTCTCCTCCATAAGAGCTGACACCACCCCTCGATTTCAAATAACTCGCGTAGTAAAGATTGGAAATAATGCTACTGAATAAAACGAAAGCTGCTCCAGCTCCGAAAACTCCCTTCCTCACAGTCTCGCAAGAAGGCGGATCATTGAAGAATTCTGTCCTGTACTTTGTGTGATAAGCGTTTCTCACCGAACCAGCCAACAAGCAAACCTCAGCGATGAAAAACGTCACCCTGCACCAAAAAATGTATGTGTATATATATATATATATATATATATATATATATATATATATATATATATATATATATATATATATATATATATATTTTAAATCTTAATTAAATTTTGATCTCGTTTAAAAACGGGGTACGATTTCTTTTAAATGGGTAAATTTTACCAGCACAGAATGAAAAGAAGAACAGCACAAGCCCTGGAGCCTCCGGGCTTTAGCGGGGGCCCGCAGCAGAAGCATCGACTTGCGATCATTACAATTAATTGACTGAGCATGAGGAATAGAAATGCACCGACACCAAATCCAGTCGCAATGTCGGAGTGATAAACACAGTAAGTATAGTACGCATCGCCATCTCTCTTCGGCGTGCCCTGTCGAAAAAATTACATGATTCCGATTTTTCACTCCTGATAATTAAAAATTGGAAATTCTTTCGTGTTTTCATTCGATTTTATCCCTCGCATTACATCAATCGGAACTCGTAAAACGCAGAAAATGTCGATTGGCCTAAAGCCATTCATCAATCAGGTAGACAATATTTACATTCTACATATCATCAGTATCAGAGATAAACAAGATCCAACTTTAAAGAGTAAATGCTCAGCCATTTCTACATATGAGTGATGTATCATTAATCAGCAAACACAATTTATTAATCAATCTTTTTTTAATTGGGGAAATTGATGAAATAAAATTTTCCTCAAATAATGCCATTATGCGAACAGTAATTAGCTCACACTTTCAATTTATTTCCAAAAACAAAAAATTAAAAAACCCTAATTTTATCAAATCATCTCGAAAAAAATCGAAAAAATTCGGGAAAAAAAATCATTTAAAAAATCAATCCAGAAATTAGAAACACACACTGGCTAAATCAACCAAATGCAGAAACTAATTGATTGAAAATTGATTTTTTTTTAAATAAAAAAAAAAGTGGAGAGAGAGAAGGGAAAACATACAGTGTTTCTTCTCTGCTCGGCGGCAACAGCCAAACCAAAAGCAATGATATCGAGGATGAAGACGATGATGATTACTAGCTTGGACGCCATTGAAGTAGCAGTGCAGTATTTTTTTTTTTAGAGAGAGAAACAAGCAGCAGCAGATCTAGATCTCTCAATCTTATAATATTTTTTTTCTCTCTCTCTAGAGAGTTGAGTAAGTAAGAAGCAGAACCAGCAACTACTGAAGTAAATTAAGAGAGAGAGAGAGAGAGAGATTATGACAGCTCAACGCTTCACCAGAGGTATACTAACCACCGCCAATTTAATTACAAATTGTTAAATATTCATACTCACGCAACGCCAAATATTATTGGGAAAATTATAATTTCGGTCCTCTTTGTTGGTCTATTTAGGGATTTGGCCCTCTAAGTTATCCCATTTCGATTTCACACGCAATGACTTTGTAAATTTAGCATTTTTGGTCCTCACTTAATAGCTTGAACTCAAATTTTATCATATGGCGAACGAATTTTACTGATTTTGCTTCATAGAATTTTAAAAATTACGGCACTTTACGGCCCAGATAAAGTCAAATTATAAAAAAAAAAATCCTTGATGTTTTGGTAATTACAATCACCTCCTTCAACTATGTATTGTCTTACACATTCACACTTACAATGTCAAATTTACCTACAGGAAGAAGAGGGTTTTCGTAAGAGGTCAATACATAGGTGAGGGAGTGGTTGTAATTAATCAAGGAAATGATTTTTTTCTTTTTCATAATTTGACATTGCCTCAGAAGGTTGGCCCGTAATTTGCCATAAGAATTATAATCTCGTTATCTAACTCAAGTTTTGGTAGAATTTTATCATGTGAGACGATAAGTACATAAACCAAGCTAGAGGACTATTTATAATTTATAAATATTCATATAACTAAATTACGATGCGGTTGTTAGTTACATTATTTATCAAAGAGTAGAATTAAAATTTCAAGCAAAATAGGAACAAAAATGCTAAATTTGTAAAGTTATTGTGTGTAAAATTGAAATAGGACAATCTAGAGGACTAAATTCCTAAATTGGTCAACATAGAGGACCAAAATTACTATTTTCCTTTTTCTTTTTATTTATTATTGAATGAGCTGTATAATTGACTATTGATATTAATTTATATTAATACAGTATATTATACGAGTGTTGATGTGAAAGAGTTGAATAATCAACTGTCGGTGGCTATAATTAGCGAATCACAGCTATTTATGTCAACGGCAAGGACTACCGTCCGATCTAGATAAGTCTACTTTGTTGACTTTGGTCAAAATTGATTTAACGCTCCCGATTCATCCACGATACAAATCCTATATCTAAGGCCCACCAAAGGAGGTGTAATAATTACAAAAATACCATTAGATTTATCTTAGGTTGCCGGTAACTCTTTTTATATATACGATTTTAAGTGTTCCCAAAAGGGGTTTTTGTGATAAAGTTTCCAATCATACACCTTTATTATTCTAGGTTTATGGGTTATATCTATTTCACTAATAAGCCCATCCCTTTAATATTTATTATAAATAAAGGAAACATTCATGTATATCCCAATATTACCCTCAACCCTTTATACCCAATTTTTAATATGCTCCAATTTAATCCTTAACTTAATTTAACCTCAATTTGATCCCAAATTTCACAAATTATTAAATTTTGACCCCAATTTTTTTTTTCCAAATTTTTTTTTCAATTTTTTTTTCCGGCCGGATTCCGGCGTTGACTTTTCATTTTTTTTTCTTCTTTTGGATTTTTCGTCGGTTTCCGGGGTTGACTTTTTTTTTTTAGTTAATTTTACTGTGTTTAACAGTAAGATAGTCAATATTACTGTCAATCACAGCAATATTGTTGTGTAAACGAAAAAAAAGTTACAGAAAGAAAGAAAAGAAGAGAAAAAAAAACCAAAAAAAAATTAAAAAAAATCGAAAAAGTCAACGCCGGAATCCGGCGGGAAAAAAAAAAGTTTTTGAAAAAATATTTTTTTTTGAAAAAATAAAAGTTTTGGGTCAAAATTGAATAATTTGTGAAATTTGTGGTCAAATTAAGGTTAAATAAAGTTAATGATGAAATTGGAGCATATTAAAGTATGAGGGGTTATTTTAGTCATTTACAAAAATCAGGACCATCTGTGGACTTATTGGTAAAGGAGTTTTTTGTCTCGATCTCTTTATAAATAAGTACCCATTGATGAGCTTATTTGTAAAGACCTCTTCCCAAAAAAGTCGTAAATTTTTTAAAGACGAAATTACCTTCGTCTTCTTTTCTTCCACTCTATCACTGCAGCCATTCAAATATGTTCCATCCCACTTTCAGTCGCTCTGCTGCCATCAACGAAACTCCGTCACACACACGCGCGCACATACGCACCGTTTTGAGTTATATTAATTGATCAATAAAAAAAAGAACTAAAATTACAAAGAGTGACATTATAAACATCTATAATGAACCTTAAAAAAGTAATGGGAATTAATATACACAAAATCTTGAGTCTCAACACACAAATAGATTATAACTCCATGACAAAAACAATCTCATAATATTATATATATATATATATATATATATATACACTACAAATGAAAAAAAATATGGAGGCAAAATGTACATAATTAACAACCAAAAAATCATTTGAGACAACATCACACACAAAAAACACAATTCTCTCTTACAACACAAAACATGCACGAAACTTAGTTCCGACGGCCGAACAAAAGAAGTCTCCGAAAGCCCTTAGGCACTTTCGGAGAGCTTTCACCGTTGTTCCACTTCTTTCTCGAATGAATCGTTTCTTGATCGTTAGTTTCTTCGTTTGGAGGCGGGGTCGAGGTGGGTCCCACAACATAAATTTCGGGCGAAAACGAAATCTTCTTCTTCTCGTTTCCTGGTATAGAAAGTTCAACGCGATCCTCACTATTACCTTTAATATTCTCCATTTGCATGGATATATCTTTCGACGAACCCAATTCTTTATCCAGAATAACATTTGCTTCTCGTTTCTCGACTGAAGTTACGGTTTGTAACACCTTAACAATCCCAAAATCTTCATCGCCTTTCGCAGATTTGTCTGATGAAATTAAGGTTGTCTTCGGACCATTTGTACTAGGTTTACTGTCGGGAGTCTTCACCTTTGTTTTCTTCGAAGCAGAAGTTGCCATCTTTGAAGTTGGTAATTTTTTGGTTTGACCAACTTTTGACTCGTTCGGTGATTGTTTGGTTGTCGTTCTAGAAGCTGCAAGGCGGTCGATGGTGGAATTCTTCATAACGGGTTTTTGTGTTTTCTTGTTCTCGATAATTTGGGGCTGAGGTTTAAGAGCCTTGTCGTTTTTCGTGGAAACAGATCTCTCTTTTGAAGACCTTCTAGAAGTTTCCGGAGCAACGGCGGTTCCCTTACCAGCACTTCTTTCGGCGATTCGCTTTTGACGCTGTATCACTAGTTCTTCCATTTTCTTCCGTTTCTCTTCTTCCTGATTCGACGCAAACGAAAAGGGATTGAATTAGATGTAATAAAAACAAGATACAAAATCGAAAGAAAGAATATAATTAGTGCTAATGTGCTATGAATTTTTTAAGTTTTATAAATTTTTTTTGTGATACCTATTATATCCCTAATCACTAAGTTAAAAGATGGATTAATTACCCCTAATGCTAATATTTTATCAATTAAATTATTAAACAACATATAAATAATTCATTAAAATTAAATTAAATGAAATGCATGTCACTTACTAATTGCATTAAAACAAATGAAAACATTGATGGATAAAATTCGAAAGATGATAAATACGATACCTTTTCAGCTTTACTTTTGTTCGTGGTGCTTCCGCCACTCGATATCTTGCTTCTCGATGGTGTATCAGATTTGCTCCTTCCAAGATTCGATTTTTTCGGTTCTTTCCCACCAACTTTTTTCGCAGATTCTTTAATAGTTTTAATGCTGTTTGCACTACCATCCCCGATCATTTTAGCATCAAAACTATGTCTCGGTTTTTCAGTGGGACCCACAACTGTATCAACTAGCGAAATATCCTTCTTTCCATAATCCACTTCAGCAGAAGAATCATTTCGACGGATCATGTAAAGTTCCTCTGGCTCGTAAAACTTACTCGCTGCTTCGTCAACATTGGACTGTTTCGATCCAAGAATATCGGAAACCATGATGATGTCAGCATTTCGCCGCGAGGAATCTAATAGTCGGGACTGAACCATGAAAGAATCGTCCAAGAGAATATCCTTTTTATTTTCTCCAATCGGAATATGGTTGTTGTACGCTTGATCTCCATTGAAAATATTCTTCGTCGGTGTTTCGGTTTTATTACTGCGCATGATCCAATCTTCCTCTTTGCGGGTTTTAGCGACGGAATACCCGTCGCTAAAACGGGCATTTTGTTGCAAGTGGTATTCTCCTTCCCCTCTTGTTGGAGTCAACAATTCTTCATCTCTGCTGCTCCTGTTAACAACTTTCCCACCTTCAAATTCGACGCTCGTTTTTTTAACTCCATTTCCGACGGATCTTTCGTTAAAAAGAAAATCATCACTTGCATATCTCGATTTATCTAACTTCTTATCCACATAAGAAAATTTCCCCTCTTCTTGAAATTGTATATTCTTCGAACCCTTATCTGTGGAATTCGAATTCGAATCTTTCAAGAGGAGATGTTGCAACATATCCCAGTTTCCATTCTTTTCTTCTTCAGAAATTTTCGTCACTAAATTTTCCTTACTTGAAGCATTGTTTTGTTCACTGCTATCAGAATCCCCGCTACCTTCTTCGTTTCTGCGTGAAGCAATGTAGTTAACATTACGAATAACAACTTTTCTCGAAGAACGTTTGTTATTCTGCTTCTTCTTATTACGAATCTGCCCCTCCGATTCTTGCTCATCGCTCGAAGTATCACTTGTGGAGATGGAGAGATTAGTTTCAACGACTCTTTCGTCACTGTTTCTTGTTTTTGCATGTTTTTCCCTTTTCATGTTAACGGATTTTTGTCTCCGTTTATCTTCGATGTCTCTATCGACATACATACCCGAATCCTCGAAATTTGCGGGCCATGGATAATGCGGAGGGGCGACACCTGGAAACATATAGTGCGGCATTTGTTGAAACATCGGATGACTTTGAGCGTTTTGCATGTAAGGTGGAAGGTGGTGACGGCGTATCGGTAATTTATCCCCCCCTTCGTTCTGTTGCAGATTGGATTCCGTCGGCAAAACATTATCTGTTCCTTTAATTAATGCAGAAAACACGAACAACAATTTTCGGTCAACTAATATCCGATGACAAACTTTCCAGACCGTAAATGAAAAAAAGGGCTCGTCACCTAACTAAATGTTCGGAAAAAAAAAAAAAAAAACTACTTCGTTGGTTTTCGGAAATACCTTCACTAGTTTCCAAACTCGGATGTCGAGTTATCTCAGAAACGAGAGAAGTTTCCATGTATGAAGCTTGCATGGCGGCCACTTCATCCATCCAAATCTTATCGTCGTTTTTCTTCTTACATAGTTCCATGAAGTTTATACATGCTTCCCTAAATATATAATAAATGTTACAAATAAAATATATAATATTTCGGATATCAAATTCGTGTAAGAAAGATAATTTTCTACCTTAAACGAAGAGCTCCAAAAGCATCACCGAAAGAAACGAGATCGTGTATATAAACCATCTCAAAACCCGCCACCAAAGCACGAGCATAAGCCATTGCTTGCTCTTTCTTCAGTATTGCCTTTCGAGATTCTAGAACACGTTGAAGACGAACCCTAATCCCACGAAAAAAAATAAAAAAAATAGTATTAACTAATTGCTAATAACAAATTGTTACATCATTTAATTTAACAGATATTAAAAACGAAAATAATTTGTACTTTGGTTTTTCTTCTGCTTCAGCATCGCCACTACCACCGGACTCGACTTTGGACTGTTTCAGAAATAAATGATCGCAAATTAATTAATAATCCAACGACATTAAAAAAAATTATTCGAGCCGTAAAGAAGATGAAATGTACCTTCGATGAAGCAAACGGAATTTTGGGATCTTTATCTGTTGCAAAAGAAGTCCCGGTTAATTCCAAAATTTTATCCTAAGAAAGTTTATAACTTGAAAGTCGAGAATCTAGAAAAAATACACGAACTACGAAAATGCTCGCTCGATTTTCGATTTTGCAGTAGCCTAATGCATTAGAAGACATTCCAAAATAACTAATTATTCCAATGTATCAAAGGAGAGAATAACAATTAATTGCAAAGGGTATCTTTACTAGATCCAATTAAATTCCCCAACTGTTTCTCAAATTTCACACACACACACACACACACACACACACACACACACATATAATCCCGGAACGAAAATACAAAGTATCTTGAAATCAAGATTAACAAACAAGATTAAGATAATGAAGCAACTTACCAAACAGAAGGGAAAAAAAAAAAAAAAAAAAAAAAAACCGGAATACCTTGTATGAATACACTTCCATTTACGTGATCGTTCGATTCGATCGACGTCTCAATCTGATCGATCTCTCTCTCAATGGTGACGAATCTTTCAAGAACTTCCGGTGTACTAACGAACCTCACAAAGCTGCGATCAAAACCCCGATTAATCACGAGATCAAACACTAATCATCAATGCTGCAATAAAAAGATCAAATTAGTAATCAAAACCTTTCTAGTGTGGCTTTGGTGAACCACGACGAATCGTCATTCGGGGAAGCGGGCTTAAGCGTAATCGAATAACCGCCTTTAAAAATCTGATCTTTCGCCGATTTCAGATGCGAAACGAAAGGCTCCAGTAGCCCTGATGCTATTTTCTCACTCTTTTTTCCAGCAAATATCACAAGATCACACCTTTTTTATTCATAAATAAATAGAATTAATAATCAAATGAAATTACAATTGAAAGAATTGATTTTGGGGGAAAAGTTGATAGAATCAAATTTACCTGGTTCTTGTTGGCGTCAATTGAAACAGAGCATAATCAAGCTGAGTTCTTGAATCCATCACCAATTAAAAATTAAAACAAAATAAAAATGGTGGTGAGGTATAACCTTTTACACTGAATCGAAAAAGACGGGCCCCACTGATTTTCTCAAAGGCCGACACTTTCTGGTGTGTGTGTGTGTGTGTGTGTGTGTGTAAATGAGAGAAGAAGAAAGAATATAGGAGCAGTAGTTGAAGGGTTTACTTCAAAAGGCTGTGTTTGTTTTTGGTGGTGGTGGGAATCTTGATTTTCAAGCCCCTCGAAAATGGCGGGTCACACTCACCACTGTGTGTGTGTGTGTGTGTGTGTGTGTTTAGTGTGTGTAAATTTTGCTTTTTTGTGCTTTGCTTGGGTGTCACTCTCAGCAGATTGTGGGGAAGGAATAATTTTGGAGTTTCAGAAAGAGAAAATAAATGGACTTCACTTTCCTTCATTGATTTACTGCTTCCTCTGTTTTTTCCCCTTTGGAGCTTTTTCTTTAAGGGGCTCTTTGAGAAAACCCCCTCACTATTTTTTTTAATTGAGGGAGGCCCAAAATATTTTAGTCCATTTGAGAAAAGTCCACACCCATTTTGAGCCATTATGCTTTCCAGCTTTGCCCCCGCCCACCACATCAGCACTGGGTCACGCTCAGCAGTTTTTTTTTTTTTTTTTTTTTTTCCGTTTTTTCTTAATCGACTATGAAGCATAGTCGATTAAGCCTTAATCGACTATGCTTCATAGTCGATTAAGGAAATTATTTAATTATTTAATTTTTTTTTTGTTTTTTTAATTCTTTTTTTCTATATCACGTGTATTAATCGACTATGATGAAGCATAGTCGATTAAGAATCTGCTACTAAACATAACAAATTACAACTGCGAAAAAATGCAAAATCAACTATATTTTAGTTAGAAAAAAAAAAGATATAAACGTTATAAATGATTTATACAATTGAAACAATAAACAAGAAATCCAAAAAAAATAAAAAAAAATGGAGTCGATCAACCTTAATCGAATACCAGAACATAGTCGATTAGCTTAATCGACTATGAACATGTACATAGTCGATTAAGGTTGATGGATGATGGGATTAACAGCTAAGGGTTGAGTTGACTCGGTCCTGTGATTGGTTGACTCGGTCGGGTCAACTCCGGGTAGAGACAGGCTGAGACTGGTCGTCGGGTCAACGACGGAGGAAGAAGCGGTTTCAACCAAAACGACGCCGGATCTCGCCACCGGTTTATAGACATGGGAAGGCAGACTCGAATCGCTGGCGTCCGACCCGGACGGGCTGCCCGGGTTGAAGTACATACCCGAAACGGGTATACCCGACCCGTCGCTGACGGATCTCTTCAACGGCCGCTCCGGCTGACCACCACCACCGTAATCTCCGCCACCGCCGTCGTTGTTATCGAAGTTACCGCCTTCGTCGGAGCTCAAGGAGGAGCACTTGCGCTTGAGGGTTGAGTTCCAGTGGTTTTTGATGGCGTTGTCGGTTCGACCCGATAGATTCATCGCAACACCGGCGACGGCGATGGATTCCTCACTCCAGCAGCTGACGCGTGCGCGGAGACGATGGCGGCGGCGGCGGCGGCGGCGGAATCCTCCTTACTCTCCTGTTGAGCTTTCTCCTGTTGAGATTTCTCACTAATTTGTGTGTGTGTGTGTGTGTTTTTATGTGTGCGAGAGAAAGAGGAGAGAGAGAGAGAGAGAGAGAGAAAGAGAGAGAGAAGAGATAAGAGTGAGAAAGGGTGGTTTGGGAATTATTAAATAATATTTGGGTAGAATATTAGGTAAGGGGGTTTTCTCTAATTATTTTTGGGAGGGGGGTTTTTCTTAACTCATTTACCTAGATGAGGGGGGTATTGCTAATTATCCCTTTCTTTAAATAATTTATAATTTATAATTAATAATTAATATATATGTTGAGAAAATTGCACTTCACTCCCTCCCATAAAATATTTTGTTTCTTTAAAGCTGAAAAGTCTCACTCCTGATTGATTAGGGGTCGATTTAGAACGGAATTTTTTATTTCCGTCGATTGCGATCCGATTTTTTTCGAATTTGGAACAATATTTTTCCATTCCAATTTCTGAATATCCGATATTTTTTTTTTTGGAGCGGAATTGGAATATATTCGAGATTCCGATTGCGATCCGATTTCAATTTTCGAAAGCAATTCCGAAAATTCTTGCTTTTTTCCTTCAAAAATTGCACTTACAATATCAATGTTACAATACATATTATGTTTCAGTGCTATTCCGATCCTAAAATTTCTAATTTTGGGAGGAGTTTTTCATTCCAATTCCGAAATTTCACTTTCCATTTTCCACGATTTTTTGGAGGTGTTTTTCAGTTCCGAAAAAAATCAGAAATTTTTCGAAAGTGCTTATTCTGCTTCGTCCAATTTTCACCTCTACTTTTAAAAATTATTCACAATAATTTTTTTTTTTAATTGGGCAGAAGCTTTTATAATTATGTGGTTTTGTAAAACGTATACATGATGAAATACACTATGTAATTTTACACCATCGATCTATAAATAATAACATATGTATTTGTGCTTAATGTATAGTTATTTACTTATTTATATTGATCTATGGTTTAAAACCACACACTGTATTTCACTAGGTGTAGGATATCACAAGCTTAATTATGTGGGCCAAGAATGTTTTTAATTAAGTGAAATAATTATCTTAATTAATTAGGTGATTTACATAATTGTTGGTAGTTAAAAGTGGTTATCCAAACGTATTAAGGAGGGTCACATGTGGAGGAGAGGTGGATAGACAGTAGTAATCAAATGTGGAGCCTCGTGAACATTAACTAACCATAGTTAAGGTTGGGTTGGGTTTGGTTTGGTTGGGTTTGGTTTGGTTTGGTTTGGTTTGGTTTGGTTTTATGTGGCTTTATTTTTATCTCTAATAAAATGAAGTATATTAATACTATATGGTAAATGGTAATAATAAAAAGGGATTGTCACTTCTATTAGTGAAAAAAAAAAAAATTAAGTGACAACAAAAGAAGTTATCAGTGATAATGTCAAAATATTGTCACTTCATATATATATATATATATATATATATATATATATATATATATATATATATATATATATATATATATATATATATATATATATATATATATATATATATATATATAGATATCTTTTTCATTTTTATATATATTATTATATATTTATTTTTTTTTTTTTTTTATTTATTTTCATTAAATTATTATTATTTATAAATTTTAATCTCTTTACTTTTATTCTTTCTTTT